TGACACCATCTAAAGGCATGTCCAGACAGGCCTTTAGACGGTGCCAGCATTTAAAGGTCTGTCAAAAACTGTCCAAAAAAAAGGCCGGAAGCGGGCTGTCGAACGAGTTGTCGGAGTCGTGTTGCCTGACGACTTTTGCAGTGTCCTGTTCGGACAGGCCTTAAGCGCAAGACACATGCGCGAAACATCCATCCGATCCGACGTCCGATCCGTCAGTACGACTGCCTGATCCGAAAAATTTGGTCGCTTCAGACGTCGGATCGGCGATCCGAAATGCGTCCAACATGCCAGATAGTTTCACACCGCGGACGGATTGTCGGATGCGTCCAGCCAATGACGGCACAGCTAGCGCGAACGTCATGATGACGTACTGGGTCTGTCGGGACGAACAAGAAAACGGGACGGGCGACGGGAAGCCGGACGCGTGGATCCCGCTGACCCATTCGAGAAAGATGGCCCCGGCAAAGAATGCACGCGCTAACGAGAACGAGCTTCTAACTTCGCTCGTGTGAGCTAAACCGTCAATCTGGGACCAGAGATCTATGAACGCGGACCTCCGCTGGAGTGCTTGGATCTCCTGGGCAGAGCCGAACGGATCGTCGCGTCGCATGCAAGGTCGGAAGCGTGTGTCTCAAACTGTAGCGTATGGAGCGGCGTTCCGACTGTCGGATCGGACGTCGGATCGGACGATTCTGCCGTCCATGTGCCTCGCGCTTTATGGTACAGCTTTCTGACTTTCGAAGGCGTTTATCTCAATTTCATTTTTCATGCGAAAACATTAACTGTCCCGTGGAGCGAAGCCGGCGTTGTTTGCGACCGCGGAAAACGGCGTATAATTTTGTCTGTAGCAGCGAAAAACGGCAGCTCAATTCCGTCTGTAGCAGCGAAAAACGTCGGGTAAATTCATATTGGCGGCTACGCGTCATAGTTGCAAGGTGAAACATGCAGCATAACACCCGTGTCACGCGACTATGAATATAAATTGCAGGAATTATACCACATTTAATAAAAAATAAAAGTAAATGTGCGTTACGTGCCCAGAGAAGCCCTCTTCCTGGTTTTGCGGCCACGCGCCGGTAAAGGGGAGAGGGTGGCGCGCGCTTTGCTGCCGTTTTTTCCTCTCTCTCGGGTCACGTGTCAGGCGTGGCGGGAAGCGGGGCGTAGGGGAGTAGAGGAGGAGAGAGAAATTTCCCCTATTTCTCCCTGCGCAGAACTCTGTCACGTGCTCTACGTTCTGCATTCAGTCTTGTCGCGCCACCCGGCCGGCCTCTGCGGAGGTCAGTGGGGCGCACTGCTTGTAGGAATGCGCTGCATGTACTAATGCTTTCGCATTCCTATACGTAGACAATATTAAGTGTCCTCCTGTAATATTTTGCCATCAAATCTCTGTTCGGGAAAACAATAAAATTTTATAAGGACTTGATGTGTGTGGAGCCAGTTTCTGAAGTTTCTGTACTCAAATTTTCTAATGAACACGGCTGTAAGATTACTTTCAATATTAGCATTGTTTTTAGTTATGGAAAGCTGCAGTTGATTAAACCTAATGCACGCAAAAATTAGAAACCTTTGCACATTAACTTTTATTTCTATTAAAAGTCGTATGATTACTGCAATTTTTAATCAGAGCCGCGTGACAGGGGTGTTATGCTGTATGTTTAGGGTTGTTCGTTTTCGGGTAAAACCCGATTTTACCCGATTCTTACACCCCGAACATGTTTCAGGAAAATCGGGTTAAACCCGATTTCTCCCCGAATTCCAAAACCACATAACCAACCTCTTTATTTTTACGCCGCACGGAGTTTGCCGTGCACACACACTATCTACCCTACTTCGGGACAACCGTGACCTGTAGTTCACTTTGCAAGCTGCGTGCAGCAGTGTGGACGCTACACGGCTCTCAACCAACCGCCCAACGAGCGCGCCTAACTCACCGTGGCATTCTACGGAGGCTGGCTGAGGAAAAGCGACAATAGGCGTTGGGGCCTGGACATTTACGTCCCCCCGCTGTGCAGGTGGAACCGCCTCGGCACGCCACGTAGCTTCGGCCCTACTGCACGCAGCTTGTGAAATGCACTATCAATCCCCCTTCGATCGCTAAGGTGTCGACGCCCAACAGGGTCTCTCGGGTAGCATGGCCATCGCGCTGACGCCCAACCTTTCTCACGAACAACGTTCGAGCCAGTCAGTCGCGTAAACAGATCGGGAAAACTTAACAAGTGTATTTCATAGCGAAATATTTGATCGAAGACTACCGTCCCTCGAACGGTCGGGATTTTTGTTGGCACCTGAGAGAGAAGAGGATTCCTTGGGCGGAACTTCCCTTGAAGCGACCGACGGCAGTCGAAGCTGGAAACCCCCCCCTCCCCACCCCCCCCCCCCCCCCCCCCCCGCTACCAGCTTGAAACACATCCCGAATTTTAACGTGTTAGCAATAAACAGCTCGTAGTACCCTCCAATTACAAGAGAAAAATAATGTATTATTGAGTACATTCGTGCATTTAACCCGATAAAACCTGGATTTCCGAATGTTTCCTAAAAAAAACCCTATTTCTCCCCGATTATCAGCCTGAAAAATAGCACCCGATTTTTACCTCCCAAATTTAGGAAAACATAAAACCCGAAAACGAACAACCCCATGTATGTTCCACCGAAGGAAGGGCTCATCATCATTACCTTTTCTCATTGAGTTTTACTCAGGAGACACTGTGTTAGTTTATGTACTTTTACGTAACTCTTGACCGATAAAGTTATAAACTTAAAGTTTTACATGCCATTTTCTTTCTCACGTATGAATCTGCCCCGCTACTTTCACATAAGACTAAAGGCACATCCCCACAGTTGCTTTCGGGCGCGGTGCGTTTAGAAGCGGCAAGCGGAAGCGTACCGTTGCTAAGAGAGCTTGTGCCAAGCTTGTACACACAGTTGCGTTGACACACAGTCGACGGCAGTCAAGAGCCAATAAAAACGCGCTACTGTCTCTAGCGGCTGAACAATAACGAAGTTCAAGGTAACACATGGCGACGCCCGGCGACAGCGTCGAAGTGGTCGATCTTAAGACAATCTCCCTGGCTTCCACGACATTCTGCCCGGCTTGAACCATGACAGCCTTTGAAAAACTTTGCTCGAGGCGTTCCCCACAGCTCTCCGAACGAAGAAGTCGCTTCCGTGAACGGAGAACCGGATCCGCATCGTCCAGTGGCGCGAGCGAACACGTGACCCTCCTCTCTTTTTTTGACTTCTGCCTGGTCTATCGCAACACGCTCCCGCTACTACCCCATCCAAAGATGACCCGGTCTCTACTTCCTTGCGGCGCATTGCGAGGCACTGCGCGATGTCGCGCATCGGTCCGCAAGCAACCACTTCTGGCTGTAAGGACGCCACTCCCCACCCAAACACGCGTAAACGCGAATGTGTCCTCGGCTGGTTCAGCCGAGGACACATTCGGCGAGAGTATGGTGCCCTGATGCCAGCGCCCTCCCTACGGAGGGTGAGGACAATATGCGTCGTCTGCTCCGGCAGCCGACATTACGGCACCCACAACGAACGGCCGGCATGCACAACGCGAGTCCATTAAAACAAAAACGCATTTGTTTACAAGCTTGTTTCCTGGGACTCTAAGACAAAGTACTTATGTTTCTGCTGAAATCTTTAGGACATCAACGAACAAAAGTCAGAAAACGTTGCAGAAACGTACGCACAAAGTCGCTTGTGTAAACACGTACAGGAAACGTCTTCTTTTTATCACTCGCCAGTTCGCGCTGAAACCTGATCTCTGATTGTACTTCGTCGGTTTTTAGTTCAATGCTAAGTGGACGATACTTTGAGATGCATTATAACCTACAGAAATTAAGCTAGCTTAATCGTTCTGTCGTATATTGGGGATCAGCAATGTCTTGACCTTGGCGATTAAGCGTGTGGTTTCCTCGTGCCGCCTGTGTGGGGTGGTAGTAGGCCTATGTGTGCGGCAGGGGGCGCAACCATATACAGCATGTGTGTGTTGCGCTCGACTCTTTCAATGCTCTCTGGTCTTTGTCGGCATTATCAAGCTTTGCTTGAATTTATTCCCAAAAGCTGCTGTGAGAATTTAAACATGTGTGTAATCGAAAATATGCGGATGGAGACCACGTACGATAATGAAAACTGCCCCTGATGTGTACATTTATATATATACATACCTGCCAACTCTTCCGAATTTTTCGTAAAATGTACGAATTGGGACCAATTTTACGATTTTACGAATCTTGCTTCATATTTTACAAAAAACAAAATTTTTTTTTTTTTGTACGTAAGGCTGTTGTTCGTGCCACAAGAGGGCGATAGGTATCGTCCGCGGCAGAGTCCACGGCAGAGTCGTGGATTTTACTATGTCTATCCGCTGGCCATGGATCCAAAACCAATCCAAAGCCCAAAGGCTGTTCATGTGTTCGGCGGCGCACGTTGGTTTCTTGTTTGGTTTGGCGTGTTAGGCCTCGCCAGCCTCGCTGTTTCGGCCAGTTTTCGTGGCGTGAAGAGCGGTGTCTGTGCTCTAGTGGCGGTGGCTTCGCGGCGCAATGGCCGCCTCCAAACCTCAGAAGAGGTACTTTCAGGTCTTCCTGAAATCCTACTCGCAGGAATTTCCGTGTTTTTTGCCGTCAAAGAAGGGAGACAAGTTTGGATTTTGTCGAACGTGCACGTGCGATGTGAACGTTTCGCACGGTGGCAAGGCGGACATTAAGCTTCACATCGCTTCGCGTAAACACCAGGGGTATGTGCGGGCCGCGGATAACCAGTCGAATCTGGTAAGTTTTTTTCAAAGTGACAACGACCATGGTGCAATTCGTGCAGAATGCCTCTTTACGGCATTTCTCGTTGAACATAACATTCCTCTGAGTGTGAGTGACCACGCCGGACCCCTGTTCCGAAAAATGTTCCCCAAGGCCGATGAGGCAAAGCGCTATGCCTGTGGACGGACGAAGACGACGGCAATTGTTGGGGAGATGGCCGCCAACGCTTAGGTGCCTATGCTGGACGCCTTAAAACGACGGGCTTTTTCAATTGCCGTGGATGGGACCAGCAACAGGGATTCACAACTGTATCCCATTGTTGCGACCTATTACGTTGAAGAGACGCGTAAGGTAGAAAGCCGCCTTCTGTGCCTTGAAACAATCGAAGGAGAAGCATCCGGTCGTAAGATTGGAAATTTGATCCTGGACGTGCTGAAGTCCCGGGATTTACCGATAGCAAATTGCTTGGCTATGTCTGCTGACAATGCAAATGTCATGATCGGCAAGAAAAATGGTGTCGCCGCAGTCTTGAAAGTGGCTCAGCCAAATTTGATTGTAGTTGGTTGTCCGTGCCATCTGATCAACTTAGCCGCCCAGAAAGGTGCTGCATGTTTTCCTGTGAAAGTTGATGAGATTTTGGTAGACGTTTTCTTCTACCTAGAGAAGAGTGTGAAACGTAAGGATCGACTGAAAGATTTTCAAAGGATACATGACATCGAAGTCAGAAAGGTCTTGAAGCATGTGCCAACACGCTGGCTGTCTTTGGGAAAGTGCCTGAAGAGGCTGCTTGACCAGTGGGAACCACTTCTAAGCTTTTTCTTGAGCGAAACAAAGAAATGCGAGAACCGAAGCTCGCTGTTTTTGGAGTCCTATAAGATCCCATCAACTGCACAGACTCTCAAGACCCCCCATGCACAGGCTCCCAAGACCCCCCCTGCACAGGCTCCCAAGACCCCTGCAGAGGCTCCCAAGACCCCAGCACAGGCTCTCAAGACCCCAGCACAGGCTCTCAAGACCCCAGCACAGGCTCTCAAGACCCCAGCACAGGCTCTCAAGACCCCAGCACAGGCTCTCAAGACCCCAGCACAGGCTCTCAAGACCCCAGCACAGGCTCCCAAGACCCCTGCACAGGCTCTCAAGACTGCTGCACAGCTTCCCAAGACTAGGGTACAGATATCCAGGACAGCTGCACAGATCCCCAAGGTTGCAGGTCATGAAGGAAAGGAAAGTGCTGATGGTGCTGGAGATGGACCCTCACTAAAGAGAAAAGGAGTCAATCCTATGCCTCATGCTAAAAAGCTCAGGCAGCCGCCTCAAGAATCAGGAGAGGCCAGCATCATGTCCCGTGAGAAGCGCCTGGTTTATTTCCTATCATCGGAACTGAACAGGGCATACTGTCTTTTTCTGGTAAATGTGATACCACTTTTTGACAAGACAAACTGCCTGCTTCAGACACAGGCTCCTCAGATTCACATACTCAGGGGCCTCTTGAACCAGCTTCTAGAGGATCTCTTGACGAGATTCGTCCGCCCAGATGTTCTGAAGGGATGGCACTCATTGCTGACATTGGCTTAGGGAGCTGTGGAGAACCAAAGAGAAGATAAGGACCTTGTCATTGGTAGCATGACATATTCCGTTGTTGAAAGGCTCAAGCCAAATGAGAGAGAGCAGTTCTTTTCTGCTGTTCGTTTGTACTTCGCAGCGGTATGCGATTACATCCGCAACAAGTTTCCCTTGGAAAACGTAGACTTCAGGATGGCTGAAGTTGCCCAACTGCAGTCGTTGGACACCTCATCGTTCAGCAGCATACGCCATTTTGTTACGGCATTCCCTGCACTGCTGCCTCAGCAGAGCAATGAGTCAAAGGATGAGGCAATGGATGCACTCGAAGCTGAGTTCGCCAACCTGCAAGCATATAATAACCTTTCGTTGGCTATATTAAACGAACCAAGGAGTGACGTACAGTGGGCACAGGTAGGGGACATTCGAAGTGTCGACTGAAGTTCCACAGAATTGCAGTGTTCATGCTGGGGATCTTGACGATTCCCCATAGCAATGCTGAATGTGAAAGACTGTTCAGCACTGTAAACAAGACGCAGACGGAGTTCCGCTCCTCAGTTTCCGACAGGACCCTCGGAAACCTGCTCATGGTGAAGGGGCATCAAAATGGGGCGTGCTTTGAACAAGTGTACTCGGAGAACTTTCTGAAGCAGGCGAAATCAGCAACAGCAAAATCGCTGAAAAAATGAACCAACAGGCGAAATCGACAACAGAAAAATCGCTGACAAAATAAATCATCATTCATCCCTAAAGATACCTGCCTCTTGCTTACCCCCCCCCCCCCCCCCCCCCCCCCCCGCGGCCGCGGGAGTTTTACGAATTTGAAAGTCCACAGGTTGGCAGGTATATATATATATATATATATATATATATATATATGAACGAATATGTGCAGATGAATGAACCGTACTTAATCCAATGAATCAAAGAATCAAAGTTTCCAGGAACCCGCCGAAAGCCAAAAATTGGCGGAGCCAGGATTTTTGGCTTTCGGCGGGTTCCTGGAAACTTTGATGCTTTGATTCATTGGATTAAGTACGGTTCATTCATCTGCACATATTCGTTCATATCCTCCTCGGAGACCAGGTACGATGGTGTGAAGTGCCCGTGTTATATATATATATATATATGCTAAAGCAAAAATGCTTATGCTGGAGAATTTAAATGCGGATTGAGTTGCGATGTGTCCACATTATTAGAAAAAAAAAAACTGCCGTGCACCTTAGGCTCGATTTCTGACGAGAGGAGTGTTGTAGTTGTTTTTCTTCTGTGGTAATTATTCCGAGATTAAGCTAAGTGTGGATAATATTACTATTGATTAAGCGCTGAATAATTATTCCCATTACTTTGACCATTCTGAACAAGGACTCATACGGAGTATACTTGCATGTATGCGCTGAACTTTTGAATAAAGGAGGAACGTTTCAATCGCACGTAAAGTGTTCCCGTGGAAATGGACGTATAAGCACACTTATGCGATCACTCTGGTCGATTGTCAATACACTTCTTTCCCTCGACAAGGAGAAAGAGTTCTTGGAGTTTGTGATCAAATGTTTTCGTGGTGGATATTGCGGGATGTATGGATACGATTGACAGGCGAAAAATAACGTATCTACAGGATTTGGTGGTCACGTAGGACACGAGTAGAGTGCTGCAGTCGGTTGCTTTAATCTCGTGATAAAACGGATTCTCGTTCATAGCAATCCATCTGTACTTAAGTCTACATTTGAAGTATGCGTGGCAACATTCAAGTTTTTACTGGAAGGTGAGAGAGAACCTTACGTGCTATTATTGAAAGTAGGTTGTTTCTGTTTATGATTTTTGATACCAGTCATGGGCACGTTACTGCTGAAATCTAATAGTGTTACAGTTACAGTTACTTAGAGGTAAAAGTAACCCTGCAACAGGTAGTTAAAAAATTGAAAGAGTAACTTTGCACAGTTACATTTATTTCGCTAAAGAAACGCCGTTATTTTGTTGTTATTTTACAAAACAATGTTAGAAAACAATCAAAATTGACCTGTCTTAGTATGCTTTAAATTAGTTTATATGTTTCTTAAGACATTTTGTTGTTCACAACATGAACTTCGATATTTTAAGAAACTCATATATTCTCAATAATCATTAGTAACATATTTGGTTTTTCCTATTTATAGTTTTACCATGAATAGCTCCCTCGTCAAAATCTTAACTTCAAACAGTATTACGGTAAATTTACTAAAAGATAAAGGACTTGTTGTATCTTCTTTTGCAAAATCACAGGGGACTTTAACCACTTTGTTCTTAGCCTGAGACTGAGGCAGGAAAAGAGTAAAGTTTCAAAGTAGAAGAAAAATGAACTTTCAAACTTTCCTCTTTTCCTGCCTCAGTCTCGGGCTAAGAACAAAATGGTTAACATCCACCAGCTCGCCTGTCGCAATCACTACATTATCAGGGGACTTTAGTCCTTTTTTTTAGATGTTAAGCCAGCAGACATTTGCCGATGATCTATGAAGAACTTTAAAATAAGCGCGACAACTATAACGTATAGACGAATATAAAAGCACGTGTCTAGGTCTTAATTATATCCAATCATGGTGCGAGTTTACAATTGGTCAATTCTAATTTAGGATATCTTTGGCGAGAATAACTGCGATAGAAGCAATATAAAATCAGTGCAAATGTGAAGTCAACAATAATATAAGTTGAACCTTGTAATCGGCTTTGTAAGTGTCTGCTTAAGCCACACGAATTCACTTGTTGGTCGAATCGTTTTCTACTGCGTGCGAAAAGTTCTTCCTGAAACCAGAAGCATATCCTAAATAATAGGAGAGCTATGTTGCGGCAACCATCCACTGTCGAACTCGCTGAACACGGCAGCGGTGCAAAAGAAGATCTGATCGAGGTACAAATGACCACTGCGCATAGAATTCTAAACGGCTGTCGCGATCTTTTCTCCGTGACTTCCTAACCAGAGGGGAGACGTTTTGCCAACCTCCATCTCACCACCCCAATTAGAAGACACCACCCGGGATGCCCACCACGTGAATATCTATAAATCAATTGATGCCAAGTGTCCCTAACCCCTGCTAAGGACGGTCTTTCAAGTTCAAAAAAGCACACAAGAAAGCAGAACGACACACACGTTTCGAGCGAATACTATTTGCCAAGTGACGGGTCGCGGGAAGCAGAGCAATGGGCACAGCAAGTAGGTGCCGGGAGCCAAGGTGGGTAATTGGGTTGCAAAAAGAGGGAAGGGGGATCAAATGGGCCTAAAGTAGAAAATTCATCAAGAGTGCACTGGGAGTTGGACGATTCAAATTATAGGGGAAGGAAACGGACGCTTGGCGGCCAAAGGACAAGGTTCGGATAATCAGTTTTGCCGTAAGCCTGCGGGCGATTGATGCGACAATCACCAAAGACTGTTCTTCGCGAAGAAAAGAGAAGCTCTTTAGAGATGCCGCGCATTGTTTCATCTGCGTGCGCTGTAGGCCATGTACCATACACATGGGGTACGGACACAAACGTCCACACCCTTCAGTTGGCGGACCAGCTTGGCCGAGCAGCGTCACCCAAAATATAGTGCATTTTCATTTTTATTTTTTCCCTAGTGGTACAGATAACTTCTGCAGCAGGTTTTGCTGTGCCCTTCCCGTATTAGGACTTTGGACCCTCTGGCGAGTTGCGAGAGAGTTTGGTGGTCGTGTTTGCAATATTTCCGCACATAAATCTTATGTGTATTGTAACGACTTTACTCTTTACAGCTACAGTTACTTTTGAAAAATAGAAACTTTGTTAGAGTTACAAATTATTTTCATTAAGAAGTAACGAGTGACAGTTACAAGTTACTAAAAAACGAAACTAGTTACGGGTGACGCGTTACTAGTGACCAGTTACTGCACAATACTGATTTATAGTAATGTTAAAAATGCGAAAGCATTAATTGTCTCATGGAGCGAAACCGGCGTTATCTGATGTTTGTAGCAGCGAAAAACGGCGCCTAAATACCCACTGGATCAGCGAAACGGCACCAAAATAACCATTGGCTGAGAGGAACGGTACTTAAATTCCTCTTTTGACCTAGCGAAACGGCACGTGAATTCCTATTGGCTGAGCGAAACGGGACATAAATTAATATTGGCGGCAAAGAGGAAGCGAATCAGAAAAAATAAAACATAAAGAAAAGCATTGTAACCCAGATGCCTCGTCACTGAAGCCGTGGAACCGGCGGGGGTTGCCGTGCCTGTGCAGTGGGGCTGCGTATGTCAACCGCCGGAGAGCCGTGTGAAGAAGGGAGACGTGACGCGTTGCTTGTAGGAATACGCTGCGTGTATGAATGTTTGCGCATTCATACACGTTCATACTACAATCCTAGCTGTATTAAGGTAATAGTTAAATTGAATCAAGCATAAATTATATTTTGTTCTTAGCCAGCTTGAGGTTACTGAGAGATGTGGATTACCTGCTTGCAAATATTAAGTAAGTTCAGCACCCCTGCCAAACGAAAAAGTTAATATGTCTTCAATAAATTATAATATAGGATTGAATAACCTCGAGATCCGGAGTGAAGATACGAAAATCGCAAGCTGATTTGCCAGGCCTATAAAGTTATTCAATGAAAAGTATATAAATTTTGCAATGTGACCTGGGTATAATGATAGAATGCAGTGCCTGCATGTGTCAGCATCGCTTACATGATTGTAAGTAACACCTGTCTAGCCGTGTTCGCATTGACTACGCCTACATTTCTTTTATCTGTGATCTGTTTTGCTGTGTCCAATCACTGCGTTTCTTGCCATTTTGTCAAAGAATTTCTGTATAAAAATACGCATTCCTACAGCAATAATTTCTTGACTCAATGTTTTGGACTTAATAAAATAACATTTTTCTGTAGACGTCTTATACGCATACTTCGTGCTATTTCTTACCGATTATTATGGGGTGTAATATTTTGCCCATTTAATGAAGTGTTTTCTAGACCACTTCCTCTGTGCATTTTTTGTTTTAGCTCATAAGACACGCTAGTATTGTTACGA